GACTCAGCCTTAGTACATGGGTCGCCAGCTCTACCCACTGAGCTAACCGGGTGCCCTCCTTTCACACAATTAATATCTATTTCCCAAACAGTTACTGATATTAGCTAAAACAGGACATGACACCAAAGTACCACATTTTTGCTTCTAGTTTTATTTAAAAGCCACTGAAGGGAGCAGGTTGCTGCTAAATGTACTAAACCTGTGTCCTTTTTACACTACTCTTCTACAGTGATACTACAGGCAATGTCAATCAAATCATCATCATTTGTGCTCCTTTATGCAAAATAAACCGTCTCATTACCTCATGAAATTAGGTTTAATGTTTCCCAGCTGTGAGATGCTCCTACATTGTCTTTGTGCATAGCATTATGGGACAATAGCGTCCATCAAGAGCCTACTCCAAACACAAGAGACACTCAGACATTTTCACTTTTTCGGTCAGCGTTGTGGTGCGGAATTGCAGCACACTGACACCCAAGTGGAACCTGATCAAAATTAAAAAAAATGCAGCAAACAAACTATCATGCTTGCTTACTGAGCACCGCAGTTGTATTGTACTTTTAGGTTTTGGATAATTGATTCTCTGTGGTACAATAACAGCACAATGCCCATTTTTGTGGCAGTGTGATGACTGCATTACACCTCTTTGGAAAACATCTAACATAGCATCCAGAAGGAAATTGCCACGGTTGAATCGCATTTCTGGAGCGTATCAGATGCTCTCGGAGGCAGAATAATTGAGGGAGCTTTAATATGAATTGAAAATTGAACTGAACTGAAAGGAATCTAATAGACCAGTCCTATTATCACTCATGATTCCCTCAAGTGCAGAGTCAGGAAGATTAAACACTTGAAATGCTACAAATGACACTGGAAGTGTCATGTTAACAGTTATGTATGTGCATGAATAAATGAACTGGTAAAGAAGCACAAACCTTTCATTACTGCACTGTGTTCGACTGACAGCTGACTACAGTTTACAACTTACGTCACAGTGTTTTGTTAGTTGTAGTATTATAGAAGCAGAGCAATCAAGTATATTTCATTTAATTAAGAGTAATTGTTCCAGTAGACTTATTTTCAAAAGTTTAAATGTACTGTTTGAAACAGAACATTATTCATTTCATACTATTAATATCTATTTCCCATAAAGTTACAGATATAAGCTAAAAGAGGATATGACACCAAAGTACTATGTTCTTTTTGTGTGTGTGTTTCTGCTATACCAGTTCAAAGCTAAATGTAAACACACAAGGACACAGGGTCACATGTGGACACATATCAGAAATATTCACAAGAATACCATCTGTGAGCTTATAAAAGCTCCATTTTACTCCTCTTTTTTTTCCATTTTCCATTTGACTCACAGCTGAGGACCCAGACCAGATGAAAAAAATTAATTTCTGTGGGGAAAAACACATTAATTTCAGCTGGACTTTAGATAGAGGTGTGGGGTCTGTGCAGAATGAGCATCTGTCATGGTGGCATGTAAAGTTTACAGGATGGATTTCTGTTCTGCTGTGTGTGTGTGTGTGTGGGCCCCTCATTGGTATGTTATTGTCTGACCATACTGACACAGTGGGCCTAATCCTTACATCTAAACTAACAATACCATGAATGGAACTTCTGCTGTTTTTCCAAATGCTGGCAGGGGTACAAAGGAAAAACCCTTAAAAATAGTAGAATTAAAGTATACACAAAGAGAATAACATTAAATATGATATTAAAAACAATTATAAAAAAATAAATGTACTTTGTTATTGCAGTTTAACAGGCATCCATCCACCCATTTGGGGACTGGTATAAAGTATCCCACTTACTGTAAATGTCAGTTATTCCTACCTTGTATTGAACCATCTATCCTGATAAATCTCTCTGGCTACAGCTCTGACTGAAACAGATATCATTCATTATATTACAGCGCTCTCATTTTGAAGTGTCAAATTAAAGTGCAGTCATTAATATGTTTTGTGAGTTTCACTCATGGCTTTATCTGGATATCTGCTGTCATCTCCTGGTCAGCAACTGCATCTGCAAACTGCAAGTCTGATTTATTCTAAGGTCCCCTTATAGGCATTTAACTATAGATAAGACAGCCCTGAATTTCTTCCTATTTCAGTCTTTTAAACTTTCCAAATTAACAGAACAGTAATACATTAAACAGCAGTAATATATATCTGAATAACCTGATATAATCTGGCAAAACCACCTACAGATGTCACATCTGATTACGTCCATTCCTCTGGTCTTGTTTCAGTGTTTTCTTTCACGGCCAAAGGGAGGCAGCAGAGCTCCATCGTGCAGAAGCACTGGGTCCATCGTATGCCTCAGTTTCTATGGCAGCCTGTGTTGCCATGTCCGTTTATTATTATAATTTACCTAAAGTTTTCTTTGCATTATCTAGGTTTCTATCTTTCTGCACAAAGTCATCACCGATAAAATAGTCTAATCAATGTCCACTTCACTGACTGCTGCTTTCCCACTGCATAAAGCACAGAAATGGGCTCATTCAGTCAATTCTAAATTAAGGTGTTGGAATAATTGTCAGCATTGGTACCAAAATACACAATTAAGTCCATCTTCCAGTGGGTTTCTAAGTCCTGTGTCGTCTGTGTGCCTTTAAAAACTCATGTGGCACCTAGAAAACAAATACATTGTGTCTGGGGCAGTAGAGCAGAGGCCTAATGGTTTTAATTTTTAATATAACATGATTAAAAAGCCGTATTCTACAGAGAGAAGAGGTCGGTTGAGTGAGGGTCTGTCTTGCTGACACAACCACCACGCTATGTTTAAGGGCTCATTTGACGGCTGAAATTGCTTGTTTCTCTCATCATATCTGGCAACCCAGTGAGCAGCCAGTGTTCAGTGAGCCCGGACTGGAGGTCTTCTGTCACCCGCGGAAATGTTCAAAATAGACAAACTAAAAGCTTTGGTCAGTGAGCGCCTGACAGCCGCTGCCGAGGACATATTTAACCTCTTTGAACAAACTATTAAAGAGTATGAGCAGCTTCGTTCAAAGGACGTCGACCAACAACGGAGGCTGGCCGGGTGGAAAGGTAACGGGACTCGGGTTGACTTTACCCTGAAGGCAGCACTGAGACTGAGGGTCCTGAGCCCTTGTTTAATCCGAATAGCGTTTGTGACTTTGTACTGGAGACTTCTGGACCAACTAAAATACTCAGTTTCATTATACAGGAGACGGCAAGTAGCGCCATTTTGCATCCCTCAAAGGAGGAGAATGGGGGGGAGGGATGCAAAATGGCTGTCACTGACACAGAGTGGTTTTCTGTTTTAGAAACTGCTGAATAAACTGCAAATGTTAAAGGCAACAGGGTGTGTTTTCACCTCTTACCTCCCTCTTCTGCCTCACTTCTCTCCTGTCAGACAGGTTGGAGAAGAGAAAAGGATGAATGGGATAAAAGAAGGCAGTTTATCAAAGAGAGATATCTCAGTATAAAATGGCGGGTATACAGTAGGTAACATTAATAAGCTAGTAATTCCCCTGGTATGTAGGTTTTCAGATTTTATAAACATTATTATAGGCACAGTGGGGTTATTTATATATATATATATATGTTAAACCCCTGAGAAACAGAGACCCCAAAACTTGTACTTATTAAACCATGGACTGCACTGCTATACTAACAATTGTAACAAAATGAGTGCTGTATTGAAGCTGACTTCTTAGTTCAAAATATTTGAAGCATTTGTAAGTTGATTTACGTTGTTTTTATTTCTGTTCATATATTTGTTGTTTGCAAGGACATCATCACAAAGCAGCCATTAAAAGAGTTGTGTTATTTAGGGGTGGGCCAAAAAATTCCATCACAATCTATCAACTAAATTGCCCTGTAAACTAGCCAGTCATGAAATAGCCTGTGATTTTTTCCATTTGCTCCATTAAAACACTGGTTTCAAAAGTTGTAGATGGAAGGAAAAAGATAGCAATCATAAAATAGCCCTTCTCAAGTACTCACAACCCAGTTACATTGTAAGCCACCCAAAGAAAAAACCATGTGTACTAGTACTTTGTCTAATCAGCATAGCCTTCTACTGAGTGTCTACATCTCTGTTTTGTGAAGGTTGTGTGGAGTTCAGAAACAGAAGTAAGAGGACATTAAAGACGGCAATCTCTACGATTTGCCTGAAAAGTAGATCGTGGACGCCTTAGATCACTTTGCCCAGCCCTAGAGTCATTGCACCTGTTGTCTTGTGCAAAGAAAGATGTCCCTTCTTTTCAACAGCAGACAGTACAGCCATTCAAAATCCTTTCATGTTCTGCAGATCATGTCTAGCTCTCTGTTAAATATATTTGTATTTGATCAAACTAAAGCCTACATTTCTTTTCTCATGTGTGATACTGTCCAGACCGCCTGCCGCTCTCTGTCCAGGAAGAGGAAGTTGCCTCTGAGCAGGAGGGCTGTGAGAAGAAGACGGAGCAGTGTGTGGAAGACCAGCCGCCTCTGCAGATTAAAGAAGAACAGGAGGAGGAGAAAGCTGATACCAAAGACTCCATGTTCAATATAATTTATGTGCAAAGAAGCGATGAAGATGGACCACAGTCCCCACATGAAAACCAAGAAGACGAAGATAAAGGAGACCATTTCCCCAGCAGCTCCTCTAAACAGTTGAAATCAGAGGCTGATACAGAAGCCTGCGGTGCATCAGAGCCAACCAGTGACTGTCAGATGAGTGAAGTCAGTGATGATGAATGGAGAGACGGTGGAGGTGTAAACAGCAAGAAGCCACAGCAGGCCGATGAGACAGCAGACAGGCCGTACACCTGCAGCGTTTGCAACAAGAATTTCAGGATTAAATCGATTTTGACTCGCCACATGAAGACGCACACGGGAGAGAAACCTTACAGCTGCGGCGTTTGTGGAAAGAGCTTCATCCAGCGCTCCTATCTGCACACTCACATGAACTCTCACTCTGGACAGAAACCGTACACGTGTAGTTTCTGCGGCAGAGGGTTCACGCAAGTTGGAAACATGAACGCGCACATACGGATCCACACGGGAGAGAAGCCTCACAGCTGTACTGACTGTGGTAAAAGCTTCAGAGAGAAAGCCGATCTTATCAAACACACAATCATTCACACTGGTGAGAAACCCTACATTTGCACTGTATGTAGTATGAAATTCAGCGCTCAGTCTAATCTAACACGCCACATGAAGACTCATTCGGGGGAGAGGCCATATTGTTGCACTGCCTGTGGGAAAAGATTCATTCGGCGCTCCCATTTAATCATTCATATGAAGACTCACGCAGGAGACAGTCTGTAGACTTGAGAAATGACTACGTTTGCTCCATGGCATTTCTTTGATCATTTCCTTGGTAGAGTGGGCGAGGACGAGGACTTTCTTTCCACCTTCAGAAATACACCAAACCTTGTACAAACGTTTTTCTCTACAAGTTGTTGCTGTATGGTTTTGTACAGTACGTACAGTGTAGTTTGTCAGTGATGCCCTTTGCAGTGGCCTATTAGTGGATGATACATTTTCCTTCCTTCCCATGAAAAAAGCAAAACAAATAATTAGTTAGTTCCTTAATACTTTCCACCGTAGACCTGTGCCAATTAATTCTGACTTTGTAAATCTTTATGATCCAGTCATAAATATGTAGTTTTGTTTTTTAAAGGCTCAGGAATTTCCCTTAAATAGCTTCCCATTGTAGTTTTTAGCAATTGTTACTTAAACAAGAGTAAATAGTGTATTTGTTGGGGACTGTTTTCAGACTTTGATCTGTGGCTCTAGTAAGTATTTCCTGCAGCAGGAAGGTGTACGTGGGGGTGACTCAAAATACACTATACTGTCATAAAACCTAACCTGGTTAGGACCTTTGTTCTAATGATTTAGACAAAGTTTTTCTTTTAAATCAAGACTGGGATCAATGGGATCATAGAGATGAATGAAGACAGATCATAAGAAACAATGATGTATTTTTTTCTCATCATGTTATTTTATGTTTTATATTCATCTTGTGTTGATTTCTAAAGCATATTTTACTTTTAACAGCCACTGAAATGTTGTCTGTATATTGTCCATGTCAAGACTGAGAAAAATAAATTGAATAATTGTGTTTGTTAAGTTGCACAGTTTCTTCTGGGTGAACATTCTTCAAAGATCAAATTCAGCAGTAAAGATTTTACTTAAATATGGATTTTTTTTTCTGATACTGAATGAAAACCAAATTCAGTAAATGTTGGCCAGCCCTTTTTGTTAACACCTAAAGACTGACAAAATACTAAGTCTGCATTTGAAAGGGCCATGGAGGAATTATCCATTATTATTGTTTTTTGTATCATTGCTCGACCTCCCAACATCAAGACTGGTGCATATCATGCATTAAGACGACAGAACACAATGTAAAACATAAAAAATATAAGAAATGAAAAAACAGGAGAGGAGCAGAACCTTATTGAAGTTTCGTTTATCTTGTGAAAACAGCTGGTAGAAATGTCCTTAAGACCAAGAGAGTACTTTTTACTTTTGTACATTTCAGAGCCTGTACTCACATTTACTAAGTAAAAAGAAGTTTAATCAGTACTTTTACTTTTACTTCTACTGTGAATGTTTGTTATTTTGCAACCTCTGCCACTAGATGCCACCAAATCCTACAGACTGCTCCTTTAAGAATGACATTCAAGAGTATCATCGTCCATCATCTATTCTTTATTTAAACCTTTTTCTCAAATTATGTTGACTTTTTCCACTTCTGGTTACTTTGTGTGTGTGAAGTTGATTATAAGCAAATAAATTAAGCAAAATCTTCAAATTGCTGCAGCTTTGAAATAAAAGAAATCCACTACTAACAAAAATCC